ATCTTTTGATACGTTGCATTATTTTATTTTCTTATTAATTTGACATTTTATAACAATATGCTGTGCGAATTTTTCGCAAGGGCCTACTAGTATTAATTAGTTTTCGAAAACTTTAGTTATGAATAACTCTTGGTATACACCAAGGTGTTAAATACAATTATAAACATTGTAATTCAGTATTTCCCTTTGCTTTATAAGCTCTCTTCAATTGAAAATTAACTAAATTAAGGTTTCCCCAAAAAATCGATAACACCGTAAATATGACATGTGAATGAGTAAAGGCAAAAATCCATAACTCTGGATGAGTGAGTCCCTTAAAATTTTTAATGGCATAACATGTGTCATGTATACGCCATACGAGACTACCCTTCTAGTCCGCACCATACCTCCGCAACATTATTATTTCAAGTCAGTAGGCAGATAGAACCATTATTTAGTATTTTATATGTGCAATCTCGACCTTATTTATCACTTGAATTCTCAAACAGCTCAAATTTTAGCGATATTTTCCCATAGAAGTACCCCAAAATTTATTATTTTTAATAGGCGATTCAAATTAATTGATATCATTTTGAAACTTGAATGATCTTTGAAAATAACAATCATTTAAAGAATCCATGGCGTAAAATTTGGCAGGAATGATTAATCGCCACCGATAGAGCAGCCAGTCTGTGGGAATAATTCCGATGAAGCATGTAACGATGCGTGACGCCTGGCATTAATGGTAGTTATTCGCAAAAGTTGATACCTCTGAATGCTATTAGAGGATATTGGCTGAACTTATAGGTTAAGCTCCTAAAATTACAATCATGAGGTTCATGATACTCTGCAAACTACTCTAGAAACAAACGCAGATTATTGTTTTAAAGTGAAAGTTAGAGTTGTGTAAGTTGACGCATTATAATTTCCATGTTCAATGATACTTCGAGCGAAGATAATTGTGATAAATCAAAAAGCAGATGACAGATCAAGAAAGCTGTGAAGAAAATGAATTTAGACCTTACGAGATTTTCTACTAAAACATTTATCAATACCTTGCCTAATTAAAGATATTTCTGAATTTCAAAAAATATAATTATAAATATATATAAAGTTATGCATATAAATTGATGCTGATATAAATGTAATAATGACTAAATACGTATATAAAAATATATATTAAGGCAGACGAATATTAAACTATTTATAAACACAAGAAAACAAAGTTAAATTAAATTTTTAGTTTATTAATTGCAAAAACCATTTTGTACGCATATGACATACTGCTACTCAATAAATATAAATCAATATTCTATAAATATTCTATAAATCAATAGAATTCTTAAAATGGAAGACACAAGAAGCACTAGATAACATAGAAACATGGTTATGGTCAACAGAGAGTGGTTTTAAACTATCTGCTAGCAAAACTAGAGCATAGTTATGCCCACTTTTGTGACTAAGAGGGTGCACACTAAATCCAAAAATACGGATGGGTGGTGCTGAAATTCCATTAGTTAACACCCTGAAATATTTGGGAATACAGATAGATCGCTCGCTTAGATGGACAATTCATATAAAACTGCTTAAAGAAGGGTACCTTAAAAAAGTTGCTCTAATTAAATGTCTCTCTCACACGACTGATAATCAGATAGGAAAAGCCTATTGAAAATATACTATGCAAGTATTATAAGCAAATTGGACTACGGTTCAAGCGTTTACGGCTCTGCTTCAAGCAAAACTTTAAGAATGTTGGATGTGGTTCACAACTCTGCATTAAGAATTTGTACAGGGGCATTGCCAACCTCCCCTGTGGAAAGGCTATATGCAGAAGCTGGTGAACCTCCTCTGACCTTCAGAAGGTTATTCATGACAACGACGTATGATCTTAAAATCAAGACAAACCCAAGACACATACTAAATAAGGTATTATTCTGTAATGAGGAAACAGGTAACGTCAGGGAGAAAAACTTTATAGAAACACTTCCTGATCATTTTTCGGATCTAAACATTGAAAATGCTCTGGATGTGCCGGATATAATAATTCGCCGATGGACCAATGTTAAACCAACTATAGATACCTCGATTGCCAGACATAAAAAGGATATAGCACTTCCAGTTGAAGTTCAAAAACTATTTTTAGAAACTGTGGAAAAATATAAGGAGTGTCACATCTTATATACGGATGCCTCAAAAGTAGATAAGGAAGTAGGATATTCCGTTATAAATTGTAATACTCAAAAACTATTTAAAATTCCGGAGGCTTGTTCAGTGTTTACTGGTGAAATGCTAGCAATTAGAGAAGCTCTTAGCACATAGAGACAAGTGAAAGTATCAATTGTGCAGTGGTGACAGACTCTATGAGTTCAATTCTAGCTATTGAACATACCAGGTTCAAAACCACCCTCGCAAAAGATGTAAGAAACCTTTGGTGGCTACTAAGGGAGAAGGGCAAAGAAGTAGTGTTCATTTGGGTTCCTCGCATTGCGCGATCATAATGAGCAAGCCGATCAGGCAGCAAAAATGGCAAAAAAGCCAGATACAACATCCGTGGAATCAATTAATGAAATCCCTCTAGAGGATTACATTAAAAAAATTAAGAAGAATGTGTGGAACATGAGGCAAAACAAGTGGGAACAAGGAGAATCGAAATTAAAGGAAATTAAACCCCACTGTTTAAAATGGAAAAACTGTCACCGATCCTCTCGAAAAGAGGAGACAGCCCTTTGCAGATTAGGAATTGGACATTGTGAGTTCTCGCACTCCTACCTACTAAGAGGACTTGATCCTCCGACCTGCAAGAGCTGCAATGTCCAAAGGACAGTAAAGCATATTATTCAAGACTGCCCTACATTTGAACCTACAAGGAAAAAGTTAGATATGGCACAGAGTCTAAAAGAAAACCTACAAGACAGTGACAGTGCAGTTAAAAAAACTTTAAGGTTTTAAAAAGTGATGAAATTCTACAACAGGGTGTAATTTAAAGGTGTTGCCAATAACCCTACAGGGCAGAGGCAAAAAAACATCAAATACATAAATAATTGCAGGTATTAAGATTGACAACTCTACTAAGCAGTTCGGTTTACTTTGTCCAGACCAGCTGACTTGCCAACTGCTTCGAACAAATCTTACTTGCTGATAAAATTGTCTTCACCATAATAAACCTGCATCGTCCCCTTAATATCATCCAAACTTTTCCAACATTTGACTCCCTTATAGTAGTTCATGTTGAAATATTCTGTTCATCTATGTAATATATATTCGTTTAGCCATATAATTGATACTGATACTTGTTATTTTTTTGGAACTTCCTTTCTCGTTCCCTTAATTTATTTTTCCAATTTTTGGGTTCGATTTCGTGTTTTCTCTCATTTTGAGACCAAATCCAAACAATCAGTTCCGGTTACCTAGGATAACTTATAGTTTCGCCCTTTCCATCTTTCTTTGTTCATAGGGAATAATGCATTTAATATTAAAATTTCGTATTTTTTCATGATGTGGTCTAACTTCCGAACAATTTATTCCGCAATTTCTGAACAATGAGTTTTATCAAACAACCCATCAACATTCATTATATGTAGTTCAGATTAGGTTGCTTAAGTGCATTTTCTACGGAACTGCTTTCAATATTTTAAAAAGTAATCAGTGTTTTAGGAAGTGAAATATATTCTCCAGATGTTTTATTTCAGCACGTTTTGCGTTATTGTCGGCCGTTTAATTACAAACGATGCTTGATTTTCAACTTGAAAATTTTTGGAAAAAAAATTGACTTTACTGGTGCTTTTTATTACCTATGCCAATTATTTTTTAATATTTATTCATGTTTTATTATTCTCTGACTATTCAGCTTTAAAAAAAGACCAACTATGAGGAAATTAAGCTAAATGCTGACTCTCAGTGACCAAAAAACTAACTAAAGTCAAAGTCGTCAATCCGCCATGTGTGGACGCCATTTTGGGGGAGTGCGTTCACTTTTTTTGTGGAAATATTGGCTTTTTTTTTTAAATAAATAGTTACAAGGAACACAACGATATGCAATTTATAGGGATGTGGGAGGGGAGGGGTGCACGGTAGGCGAATCTGGTCCATCGTGTAATATATGGGTCAGTTGTATATGTTGGCTTAACCAATAGGCATATGTGGATTAAACGGTAAAGAAATAGAGATAAAAATAGAAAAATAAACATATCATTTCTCTATATAAACATGCTGAAATATTGTAGAATGAAAACTAAAATTATGAAAACCTCCTTGGTTACTTACATTCTTTACTTTGGAACAGGGATCCTTTGCAAGGCTGCAGTGCTAAATAACTTTCTCAGTTTTATTTTTAACTATTAAGTTCTCATTCTTCAAGACCGCTCAAAGACTTAAGTGGTTAAAAGAAAAGTAAAAAAGTTTGAATTTTCAATTCGCTGAAATTCCTTCTTCGAAACTTTTACAGGTTGCATGTTGATTGAGGCATGATTGTTGAAAGTTGCCAGTAATCCTTGTTAAACCTAAATTTGCTATCGGAATAGTGTGGGAACTAATTTAAACTTCAACATGCGCTAAATATCGAGTTGGAGGATAGTGCAGCTGTAATTAAAACTATTACACGATGAACGGTAACGTTATAAAGTTATGAAACAATAACTTTACGAAGAACCGATATCACATTTCATGTTAATTACTGTTGTAATGGGAATTGTTATATACAGACAGATATGCTGTATACTTTCATCTCTAAAGAAATTGATTAAGGGACATAAATTGCTCAAAAAAAAAAAAATGGAAAGAATTTACTGTAAGAGAATCTCTTATCAGAATATTCCTAAAAATCTAAATATAGGTTTTTACACATCGAAGCAGTCAACCTTTCGCCTATGCAGACTTTATCAGGATATAAAAAAATACCATTACATAATTACAGTCCAAATATCACATCTCACATCGTTTGTAAAACAAACAAAAAAAAAAAACATTAAAGCTAACCTGATGGAGATAATACATCACTTCAATGTGTTTAAATATTTAATCTTATATTTTTGTTGAAGAGACTTATGTAAAACAAACAATCGTTATCCATGAAAATATATTCTGTTAAGGAGTTTTTAATTCAAAGAAATCAAAACATTATACCAGGTGGAATGAAACGTGTAGTCCGTGGAATATGCAAGCAAACATAAAGTAAATATAAACTACATAAGAAATATAGACTAGAAAGAATAGGAAGCCTGGCGTTACAGCTGCCATGATCTGACAACACGATAACTTGTCAACATGACAAGTATTAAGTTAGACAGCCTGTTAACATGGAAATAAATTGTCTGAGAAACATTTCTATAGATAGGAAAAGAAAAACAGAGAGTTTTGACAATGCATTATGTTTTTATGAAATATATTGTTATACCTATTCTTTCAGAAACGAGAAAAAAAAATGTATTCAATGCGTGAGGAGTGGTAAATATCGAGATGATATATACACTGACAGGCAAAAAATTCCACCCACTTGATTTTTTCATGTTTTCATCTAAAAATATTTCTGCTTTGGATTGGTCTATTGTTTTTAATGAATAAATAGGTAATCTTTTTGTTTGTTTTCAATTAGGAATGTTAATATAGAGGACAATAATCCTTAATCCTTAATTCAATGAAATGATTCTAGATTCCAATGTTTACTTTCTATGGAATCAAAATGTTTATTCAGTATCATTAGTTCAGTGCCGTTTCTTGCAGCACATTTCTTAGTCTCTGGCTTTTAATTTTTTCAATATTAAGTTTAAAAATGCCTCTTAGAGCTGAGGATGTTGCGCGTGGTGTAGCACTTATTGATGATGGACGTTCCATTAGATATGTAGCTAATGCCATTGGAGTTTCATATGAAACTTTACGAGACATGAACGAGACATATGAAACTTCAGTTTTCGGGAAACTGGTTCTTACAATAGAAGGCCCGGTTCTGGACGGCCTAGGGTAACTGAACCACGGGATGACCGGTTTTTGACATTGAGAATTTTACGAAACCGGCACCTTACCGTTGTTCAAGCGATTCATCAGCTCGAAGAAGTTCGAGGTGTGCAAATTTCTGAACGTACCGCTCGGAGAAGATTAAATGAGTTTGAATTAATGGCTTTTCGTCCAGTAAGAGGACCAGAGTTGACCAGAACTCACAAAGTAACACGGCTGGCTTTTGCTCGAGAACATAGCCGTTGAACTATGGACGAATGGAGTGCTGTACTTTTTACAGATAAGTCAAGATTCGCTCTTCGATCTCCAGACGGGCGTGAAAGGTTGTGGAGAAGAAGAAAGAGAGATATGCAGCCTGTAATTTTTCCCAGAGCCAACCTTTCCAACGTGGTTTCTTAATGGTGTGGGCTGGGATTTCAACGAAGTGCCGCACAGAATTGGTTGTTGTTCGTGGAGGGTCTTTGACGGCCATTCGCTATGTAAATGAGACTTTGGAACTTCATGTGTTGCCTATCCTCAACGAAATCGGCGATCATTCTATTCTAATGCACGATAATGCACGCCCACATGTCGCTCGCATAGTGCAGACGTTCCTTCAACAGAACAAAATTGAGGTTTTAGCCTGGCCAGCACGTTCTCCAGATTTGAACCCCATTGAGCATTTATAGGATAACCTCGGAAGACGAATAAGAGAGCGTGCAACACTTCCTGATACACTGCAGGACCTTGTAAGGGCTCTTCGGGAGGAATGGGCTATCCTCCAGCAAAGGGACATTTCCCGACTGGTGGAAAGCATGTCGAGGCGTCGTCAAGAAGTAGTGAAGGCAAGAGGAGGAAACAGGCGCTACTAAACGATGATGTGATTAATTTATTTTAGAATAATAATTCGTTTTTCAATTTTTTTTCTCTAATCTTTCTTATCCAATCACATTTTGATTATTAAAGGTAAAAAAAGATTATAAAATTCCATTAATACTAAGTATTATCTACAAATGACATGTATTATATACAAATACAACTTTACAGAAATATTTTTAGATGAAAACATGGAAAAATCAAGTGGGTGGAATTTTTTGCCTGTCAGTGTATATGTGATATTGTATGTTAATACTCTGTTCTGGAATCGAGAGAAAAAAATCGAATAAACAACTTGGTAAAAATAAACTGTAAAATGTTTTTGACATATTACAAATACAAAATAAGTGTTGTTCGAAAGACCTGTAGAAAATATGCTTGTGGTAGTAAGTCTGTTTAAGTATAACAGCAATTTTTAATATGTTCAAAAGTTTGATTATCAGTTTCAATGAGTCTATAATAATATTTGGCAAAATCTCTCTCATTCCGTCATTAATAATCCTGCTTACGACTTTTTGTAAAACATCTTCCAATAAGTTCTGAAGATGTCTTGTATCAGTTTTCTGAGTTAAAATATGAGACACTTGTTGAGGGATGTCTCATATATCTCTAACGACAAACTGTCTACTAACACGCCAACGAATCACCTTTCATTATATAGATTTGTCATTTTTCTACCGATTTTCACCAAAAAATAATGGAGATATAATCGAAGTTAAAAATTTTGAATTCATTATGTGCATATTGTATAATTAAATGGTAAGCAGAGGCAATAAAAAAAAATGGATTTTTATTTTAGCCAGCCTTCTTCATTTTCCTGAGCAGTCTACAAGTTCAGAGCACTAGCGGATCCAGGCGGGGAGGGGGGGGGCGCCACTCCCTCCCCCCTGGTAGCTGGAAAAAAACATCTATTTAAAGAAAAGAGAAATGTAGGGAAAATTCATTCTCATACACGAATTTCCTAATGTAATACAAAAAAAAATCTATCGTGACCAGCACTAGCGAATTCTGCCTGGGGGAATTGCGCCATCCCATGGATATGATCACCGCACATATGTGTATCTTACATCAAAGGTTATTTATTATATTTTACAAAAATATTTTTCAGATTAAAGGGTATGGTGTTAAAAAAAAAAACTCTTCAAATGATTTCACAATGGTTTTTTATCTCCAAACAATTATACATCTAAAGTAACATTACCTTCCGAGTTACAAAGAAAAAAAAGGTGATTCCCATTATTAGACTAAACTGTTTTTCTTTAATCATTAGTAATATGCTAAAAAAAAAAATAGCATTATTTCAGTAACACATTTAAAATTTAAAAACCAAACCAAGGATATAACATTTGGAGTAGAACACATAAAAACAAACCAGAGACCATATCTATGCTCCAAATTGTCTGATTTTAACGATTTTCTTTTTGTTACAAAAAAGTAAAAACTTTTCGAGTCATTCGGAATTTAATTTTAACATCCCTCGTAACTTTTTTTCCAGCTTCTTTTCGTTGAAGTATGTCATATAGATAAATTTAAAGGGCGTCGAGAAAATGACTTTAGCGAAGTTTCATTGAAATCTGTACATTCGTTTAGGAGCTACAGTCTATAGCAAAGCAGGTTTTTCGGCCGCCATTTTGAACGTTAAAGGTGGATAGTAATGTCGATGAAGGAGGATCATCCTCGGGTGACCTCTGATTTTATATCAAAATTTGAAAAAAATCGGTCCAGTAGTTTCGGAGAAAATGCGCGGACGGCGGACGGACAAAAAAATTTAATCGTTTTTCGAATTCTACGCATCTTGAAACGCGAAACCTCAAATTTTGAGAGGGGGTTATGTTTTTGAATTTTTTGGTCGATCACAATGTTTCATTATTGAAAATAATAAACCAAAAAGTGAAACATTACACTTCGCATTGACAAAGCATCGATTACCGGTGAATAAATAAATTAGTACCAGAAGAAAATGAAAATGTATCAACTGTCGAAGTATAGCCTTTCAATTTAGGTTTTTCCATCTATAGTTGTGTAGAGGATTGCTTCGAGCCAACTGTACTGCACAACCGGACCTCCTTGCCTTCGTATCATGAGATACTGATTGATCAAGAGTATCTTCAAGCACATCCTCATTGGTCCTTCTCCTCCATCCGTTGAATATTATAAATATACTAAATTAATAAATTATCATTATTAAACAAATGTAGCTCTCGAATTGACAATGCTAAACAGGACACAATGAACATCTTGGTTTTCTAGTTATGTTTCTTAAAGCAACCTCTAGAAAAGAAAGAATGAAAAGCATCCGATTTAAGATCTGTAATTGATCTTGTAGGTCACCATTAGTCAACTGGTAACAATCAGAACCTGGCAACATTGAGTGATCGATTTCTAACCCTAAGGATGCCGGTAAATGTCAATGTTCCCAAATAGTTTCAATTCTATTTTTCCATTTCGTAAAATCGATGTTTTGTTTAGTGTTTTTTTTTATCATTAAAAATTGACGTTTAAATGATTTATCCAGTCTTAAGATATAATTTTTTAAACTATATATCATTCAAAAATATATATTGGTTGTTTTGAAATAGCGCGTAAAAATATTATTTTATAAAAGTCGTTGTTTAACTTTATACACATCTATATTTGTGTGTGTGTATGTGTGAGTGTGTATTGTATTTTATACTGATTTCACTCTTTATATTTAATCTTTCGACTATAAATTTCTAATTTCACAACTAGCATCTCATAAATCTTTGTAGTACACGACGAATTAAAATTGTTTTAATAATTGTTTGGTTTTATCTATTATTATATTCATTAATTTGGTAATTTACTAATTAGTTGGTATAACGTTTGGTGGACGTTCAAGCTAAACTCAATTAGTCCAAAATGAATAAAATTAAATTTCACATTTACGGCTTATTTCTTAAATACCTAAGTCATTCATTGATTTGAATGTAATGTGATGGTTGAAATTCATTTAGTCCCTGTACGCTGTTTTTTTTTTCCTCCAGGCAGAAATCATTTATAATTAAAAAATAACAAATTCGACGCTTTTGGTGGAAAGCTAACGATGGAAATGACTCCACCTGGAGGCTGAAAGAAGAATTGGGACCCAATTCAAGAAATCTGCCTAGAAAAGTTCCTTTTTTTTCACCAAATTCCTGTTTTGTTTTTTTTTATTCGGGACCCAACTCGATCTCTTTCCTCCTGCAAGTATGAGTATTGCCTAAAAATCAAGGAAGTATGGAAAATAAATAATATGAGTCAGGCATGAATTCGCAACGAATTGTTACTTTGTTCATATTTTTTTTACTTATTAATTGAGTAAGTCATAATGTTTACTTGTTTCTTAAATTTTTTACTGGTATTATTTATTATTATTTATCTTCATATTGTCAGTTATTGTAACTTACAATATGAAGTTATAATAAACTACTTACAATAAAAATCTCATTCGCTTGGTCATGATTTATGTTATTTATAAACCATTTATTATTTATAATTGGGGGACAAAGGTTGATTCAGAGTCCTTTAGGCCAATGTAAATATTATACATAGGTGTGAATGTGTTTTATTTATTTTGTTATCATTCGGCTAATCTGTTATTTTACTTATCTTGTATATTACTTTATCTTTTTATTTTTTATTTTTTTTTATTTTAATGAAATTTACAACTGTATCACATTAAAAATACAACAAGTAAATGTGACATTGGTAACATGACATGTAAAACATGAAGAGAAACTACCCATTGGTAGCTGGTAACTGGTAGAACTCAAATTAAAGTCCTATATTAGAAGATCCCGAGGCCATCTTCTTTTCAGACACCTCGGAGGGTTTTTTTTTTTAATTTTTAATTTTTCATCATCATATTCCTGATCCCAATACCGCAGCGAGGTGTGGGCTATGTCTTGTAGAGCTTGGATCGGGTTTCCCTTACTTGAGCCAACTCTCTTCTCTTACTCCAATCCAATCCAATCCCTGAACGCCTCTAGTACACTGTCTTCCCAGGATATGCGTGGTCTTCCTCTAGGTCTAGGTCTCCTTTTTTTTTTTTTTTTTCTTCTTAATTGGTTATTTTTATTTATTTTCCTTTCTTATGTACATATTTTGTGAATGAATACTATAGCCCTAGTACCAATGCCCTTCAGTGTGGCAGACTGTATTAATACTCAATAAAACAATAAAAAAAATAAACCATTATTGTGCCTACCTGTTTCTAACTATTTTTTTAACTATCCATAGAGAACACCGGAAGCTTTGCTTAACAGTTTAATCACCGGTGGGTTCTTGGAGAAAGATCTAGAAATAAAACAAAACACAACAAGATTGGAATTGATAGCACAAGCTCTTTCTTCAGCGAAAAAAAAAGAAATCGAAGAAGCTTCTTTGAAACAGAAAGTAGAAAAACCACCACAGGGTACGTATTTTAAATCAAGTTAAACTAGTAATTACTGCTAATATTTTATTTATTTTTTTTATTTTAAGGAAATAGAATAGAATCCTATGATATAATGTTACACATAATTATCTTTGAAAATAAATTAAAATTTAATTAATAGAGATATAGGGAGTGGTAAAATACTTGCGTTCCTACTTCTAGGCCTTAGTTAAGCTATCTTGTCGATTTTTTCTATTTTCTTAATTGATTTTAGTTCACATACTTTATTTATTAATGCAGATAAATGGTTATTGATTACAGTCTCGCCCTCTTCTCCCCATCCCCGTCCCCGAAGTATATGCCTATGTTCCTGAGTTATAGTACGGGCAGCAATGAAAGGAATAACATTATATTAAATTTATTTGGCCAACATCTACAATGTGATAGATTTGAAGAAGAAAAGTTTAAAACATAATAGTTTAATAAATAATGTAAAATATTATTAATAATGAATGTAACGTTATCAATGATATGAAAAAAAGTTATTTAACAATTAAATTTAGCAACTTTTGAGCATGGCTAACAGAAGACCTAAAGCGAATAAAGGATGTAGAAAAATACTACGAAGAATTTATTAATCTGCTTTAATTAATTTTCTTTAACATTTTGCAATGATAACTAGAGAGCCTCCAAGAAGGGCAAAACTTGAAAATATCTAATATAAATAATTGTATAAGATAATAAAAACTGATTTAAAAAAAATAATAATAATTTTTACTATTATATTATTTAACAGAAACTAAATATTGCCATGAAAGCTAAATGGAATATCCTTAAAAAACTAAAGCTTTAAATTTTTTTTTAGCATGAAAAAAATTTACAATGAAAGTAATTGGTGACTGAAATTGATTTAAAAAACGTCTGATTGATGGTACATGCCAAATATAAAAGTTTAAATTTATTTTCGCTATATAAATTTTCGTAAACAGTTGGCTGAAGATTTATTTTACGTAAATAACAAGGCAAAAACAAAAGTTAACCTATAGATTCACTAGGAGATCCAGGATTTAATTTTTTGGGGGGGGGGCTTCAGCCCGGAAGCTCTTTTTTTCATATAAATAACTATAATTACTTTAGAAAAACAAAAAGATACTAACTACCTATATGAAATGGTGTTTAAGTGATTCTTAAAGTTCTATTAAATGTAATTAAACGAGCAATAATACTTTAAGACATAATTTTTTAATATTTTTTACGATAAAACATGGTTACATTTTAAAATTTTGGGGGCGGCTTCAGCCCAAAAGCACCTCTCCCCGCCCCCCGTAAATTCGCCTGTGTATAGATTTGCAGAATAATCAATGGGTGAGGCGAAAATATCCGCTGTCATAAATGAAGCCCATGGGACCCAAGCATCGTGGGGTGTCAGGACAGTGTTCAAGGCACGCTCAATTGTTGTTCGTAGAAAACCAAAAAAAAAAACCTCTCACTAATCAAGATGAACAATGTCAAACCTCAGCTATTAAAACATCACCTCACGCCACTACTAACTCACCTCCAATCTTTATCACCGTCGTAACTACTACGTTTGGTTTCATACTTGCAACCATATTCAGGACCAAACTCCTTTTTAGTTAGGATAACTTCCAATGAAATAACTGATTACCCTAATACCCCAAACGATTGCAGAAAATTAGTTAGCTGTTCGAGAAAAAGCGGAGCTGAATTTCATCCATATCAGCTCCCTGAGTGTAAACATCCTCGAGTGTACATCAAAGACCTTCACCACAACACCCCAATAGAGGAAACTAAAAGAGATTTAGAAGCAAACGGATACCAGTTAATAGGCATAACTAGCGTTTCAAAACTTCTAACGGCCATTACCGAAGTTTTTCGTAGATGTAAGTAAATAATTTCAATGAAAAAATATTAGAAATTGATAAAATATTTTATACAAAGATTACAATAGAGGAACTCAGGAAGAAGAAAAATATTCCACATATGCCAAAAATACGGCTATACCAGATCGTATTGCAATCACTCACCGCAGCGCGTCCGAGGTGGACTGGGGCACGAAACCTCTATGTTTAACAAAAAACGAGACACTCCGGCGAAGTGCTCTAACTGTCAAGGCCAATATTCGGCAAAATGTCGTCGGTGCTAGACACTTAGAGATCTAAGGAAGACATGAGGCATCAGAGGAAGACATGAAATCGCGTTTATCAGAGGATACCGCCCTCTCTCGGACCTTAAAGATTTTCCGTCACTACCACAATCATCTAGATATTTTCAAGTCCAGGAGCAGAAGCAATATCAGCAATGACTTCCTGCGCAGCAGCAGCAGAAGGCAGCACACCAACAACATCCGGGGCAGCAGAATAAACAGCTCAGGAACAAGAAAAAAACCCACATCTACAACCTTCAGCATCAGTACCGCGAAACATTCAATCGTGGTCCGACATGAAGGAAGAAAATACCTAGTCACATTTAGCCGATAACTACATCTCTCCACAACAGTTTCAGCTATTGAATGGCCTGAATGGGACTCTCATTTAGCTCCTTTTTAGCCTCCTCTAAAAGCTCGCACATGCAACGCAAGGCATGAGTCTTCCTAATGGCCATCAATCAGCTTACTGTAGGCTCCCTTTCCATTCTTCTGTGGAATTCAAACGGAATAATGCAGCATATTTTTACAACATGAAAAACGCGTAGACATCTCATTGATCAAACAGAAACACACTTTACACCACGATCTAAATTTCATATTTATGGTTATATTACGCACAGAACGGACCACCCGGACAACACCACTCATGGTAGCACAGCTATACTAATAAAGAAATCACTATCACATAATACCTTGTACTACCCTCCGAAACCTAACATTCATACCACAGGCTTAATACTACATACCAAACATCACGCAATAACTATTAGTTCGGTATATTGTCTTCCAAGGTACGTATTAACATCTTCGATGTTTTGCAATTATTTTCAAACACTTCGGTGTTGGTTTATAGCGGGTGGTGACTTTAACGCAAAGCACCAAATTTGGAAGTCACGGCTATGCAAACCAAGAGAAGAAATCTGAGGACTGCTATCCACGAACTTTCATTAGACACTATATCATCTGATACACCGACATATTGGCTAGCTTCGCAATAGAAAACTCCAGACCTATTTGACTAAATACCATAAATACAAGCTCTGATCTTTGCTCTGATCAATTCCCTTATACACTTGGTTGTCCTAGATGAGCCCAACAACCTCCCACGAAGCCCAAAACTTATCAATGGTGAAATGGATCGGGATGCTAATAGGACATTTCTGGATTCAGAGCAGTTAATTAAAATTGAAAAAGAACTAGAAGAGGCAGTGTACAAATTTACCAAAAGTGTTCAAAAAGCTACTTGGACTTCATTTCTTCCAATGCCATCAAGACCAGAGCATTTGCCCAGATACCCTCAGTATATAAGGAACTTGATCACGGCAAAGAGCCCGTAAGATATGGCAGACTAACAGACTTCCTTCGGATAAACGAACATTTGACAGACCGAATAACGGACTTAAATGACCAATAAAAAAATTCAAGGCCACAAACAATGATGCTTACTTGAACAGTCTATCGACTGACGATGGAAGTTAATGAAAGCATACCAAGAATTTGTTAAAACATCGAGAGGTATCAGAACGCCTGCGAAAAGAGGATGGTTCATGGGTTTTGTCGGATAGATAAAAATCTGAACTATTTGCTGACCATCTATCATCTGTATTTACACCATTTAATGACTTCACGAACACAGAACATGAAACTATTGTACTAAACACTTTAGAAATTTTACTACCGTTGACACTTCCACCTGTCTCGTTCACTCCTTCACAAACTGCACAACAAATCATTTACCCCAAAAAAAGCACCAGGTTATGACTTACTAACTGCCAAGGAGCTCCAGCAAATGCCCAGGAAAGCACTACTGTTCTTTACAATATACAACTACATACTGAGGACAACTAAATTCCCACTACAATTGAGATATTCATACATCAAAATGACACGCAAAAAATGCAGACATTTTCAATCCCTCATCCTACCCACCGATAAGTCCCATCCCATAAAAATAGTATACAAAAGATTGGTTGGCTTACTGACGGAGTAAAATATAATTCCTGACCATCAGTTCGGTTTTCGTATGTTCCATTCAACAACACAATTACTCAGAGTTACTGACTACATTGCTGGAGTACTAGAGCAAAAACAATACGCAATCGGCGTATTTCTGGATGTTGCCGAGGCATTCGATAAAGTCTGGCGCCAGGGACAACCTCATTCTCCAATTTTTCCGTCTCAACAGATTTTTCTCTGTCCGATAAGATCTAGAAATTCTCTCAATTCGACCAGTTGCCCGTGCCAAATTTTATAAACGTTTATTCAGTTTAGTATTGAATTTTTTTTTTTATTTCGAAAAAAAACATAAATACTATTATGTATGGCACGATATATCATTGTTCCATAATAGTTCACGTTTCGAAGTACCACAAAAATTTATTTAAGCTGCTAAACTAAATTCAATTAACAATTGTGGAGTCGTTTTAAAATATTTTATATATCATTTACAGTTAATTAATTAAAACAAAAAAATAATTCAACATAAATCCACCAATAATTATTAATTCAACATCGTCCACTATCTTAATAACAGATCTCAACTTATTGATTTATATATACATTCTCATAAAACTGCATCCTTCAGCAAATCTTTCGTTATTCGTGCTACCTCCTTCTGAAATTCTGTACCTATTAACATTCGGCAATCCTCATCCTTAAATTCCTTCAAACAACTCTTATTCCACCACCTAATTCATCTTCAAACTTCCGTAACTATGTAAAACTTTTTATTGTAACTACAACTGCTCACTAACAATTAACCGAAAAAATTCACTTGATTTTATTTAATTTTTCTTTTTCTTTGTAAACATATAAACCATGTAAAATGTACTAGTGTTACTTTATTTACTGTTTTGTTCAAGGATGATTGCAA